AAAATATAAACACATAAGAAGAGGTCTCTCTAAGCCCAAACGGCAAATATCGTTCCTCGTTTTACATATTAAATACCCCTCAATCACCCAAACAAGTCACAGGCAGCCAAATTCTATTATCAACAAATGAAAAATCATACACTTAGCTTCTCCATCTCCTTCCTCAGCGCATTAGCCCTCACCAGGCTCCCGATCGTATTCACGGCCAGCTTCAAATCATCCATCGGGTTACCGGGCACGACCCGTTTGTACAAATAACTATCAAACGTCATCTTCTGCACGTACTCGTCGGCACACATCTCCACAAACGCCTCCCTCGCCGGATTCGACCTGTAGAACACCTTCTGCAGTATGTCCAGAACCTTATACGTCGGCCAATAAGTTTTGTCCCATTTTTCCAGATATACCCTCAGATCCCCCTCGTCCACCATCCTCTTCCCGTTTTCCGACCCGGCTACAATGGCCTCTGCACACATCCGCCCGCTTTTGGCGGCAAAGTATATCCCCTCACCGGAGCACTTGGTGACGTACCCGGCGGCGTCCCCAACGAGGGCCACCCGATCGAGGACCCGTCTGGGCCGAGGGTGCTCCGGAATGGGGTGGGCCTCGACCCGGATGATTCGGCCGCCGTCGATCTTGTCCCGGGCGCGGAGCCGGGTCGCGACCTGGAGTTTTTTTATGTCGCCCTTGTGAGTGACGGTGCCGGTGCCGACGGCCACGTGGTCGCACTTGGGGAAGACCCAACCGTAGAAATCCGGCGAGACGTCGTCGCCGACGTACATCTCAGCAAGGTCCTCATAGTACTTCATCTTTTCGTCGGGGATGCGGATCCGCTCCTGGAAGGCGATGGCGTACTCGTAGTCGCCGGCGCCGATGGATTTGGCGACGCGGGAGTTGGCGCCGTCGGCACCGATGACGGCGTCGACTTCTAGGGTTTTCCGTTCGCCGGCGCCGCCGGACTTGTCGTTGTAGTCGGTGTAGTGGAGGACGTACGGCGCGGTCTTGGACGAGGGGAGGTCCATCTTGAGGAAGAGGCCGTTGATGACGGCGGCGCCGGCTGCGCCGGCGCGGTCGCGGAGGTAAGCGTCGAGGACCTCGCGGCGGACCATGCCGATGTACTCGTGGGGCTTGAGGGTACGGCCTATGTCGACGGCGACGTTGGACGGCGAGATCATCTTCATCTTGGTGACCCGCCGGTCGATGATGTCCAGTGGGAGATCGAACTCGCCGACCATGCAGAGGGGGATGGCGCCGCCGCAGGGCTTGCAGTTGTCCATCTTGCGCTCGATCAGGAACGTCTCCACGCCGCCCTTGGCTAGAGCCTCCGCGGCGGCGCCGCCGGCGGGTCCGCCTCCCACCACGGCGACGCGGAGGTTCCGGCCGGTGACCCTCGGGCTGGATTTCGAGGCGACCACGCGGAATCTCCGGCGAGGAGCGGCGGATGCAGACCGGGATACGGTTTTTCCCGGCGCGGACTGACGGAGGCCGACGAAGGATTTCACGGCGACGCAGGCCATTTTCTGAGGGGTTTGATATTTTTTTCCTTTTCCTCTTGAAGCTTAGTAGTGGCTGAGAGTGTGGGAGGGTAATATGAGTGGAGGTGGTGATATTTGAATAGATATGATTAGTGGATTCTGAAGAGGTGAGAGTCGTAGGATGTGAGAAAAGGGACGGCGGAGATGGATTGCGGATAACGGGTAGAAATTTTTTGTTTGTCCTCGTATGTATCGTCATATGTAATTTTGAATTTATACTGCCGGAGTAAAAGAGTGGGAGTGAAGTTTGTCTGGATGCAGGGGTCTGATTTTGAGTGAATTTAGGTGGCTCTGCTTTGGCCACGTCGTATGGGGAAAATAGGTGACTTTAGTTGATGGTAGGAGTGTTCATAGTCCGGTTAACGGATTACCTGCGGCAAACCGCCGGTTTGACCGGACCGGACCGGTAAATATTAAAAAATTATAATAACAAATATCATGGTTTTAAATAGCGCGCTATAGCGGCGCTATAGCGGCTCAGATCAGCTAACGCCAAGCTATTGCTGTTTTTGCAGCGCCAAATAGCGCCGCTATAGCGCCAAATAGCGCGAATAGCGGCAAAAACAGCCTGGCGCTACTATGCCATAGCGGCGCTATAGCGCGGCCATAGCGGCGCTATAGCGTCGAATAGCGGCCAGAAATGCCCGACGCTATTTTCCATAGCCCGCGATCAAAAACCATGACAAATATATATATATATATACATTCAGTCATTTATTATGACCTACAAATACAATACATTCACTTTCACTTTTTGGCCTTTTGTTGACTTAATTTTGCAAGACACTATAACTTTTCATTTTTTCCCACCTTCGTTTTTTTATTTTCAAATTTTCCCACCTCCTCTTCTTAATTTTTTGGGACGAAATGTGTATTTTTATGCGTATGAGACGAATTGTGTATTTTTTATTTCTTATTTGTTCTTTTCTTAATTTTTAGGCTCAAATAATCTCTTTTGGACCAAAATTGAAAAGTAAAAATTAAACCAAAAATGAAAAAAATAAAAATTGAAAACCCAAAACAAAGATTTTGGATTTAACCGGTTAACCGCCAAACAGGACCGTCCAATGCGGTCCGGATTGTGGCCGGTTAAAAAATAAAAACGGTCCGGTTATGGATAAGAAAAAAATAACCGTTAGGTCCGGTTTGGTCATGGTTTGGGCTAAAACCGGAGCAATCCGGACCGTGAACACCCCTAGTTGATGGGTCCAAATTTAGTAGGATTTGGTTCAAATTTTTAATTAAAAATAATCCTAATTGGTATTTAGGTTATTTTACATAGATTAGATTATCTGAAAACAATATCGTAACAGAATATTTCGTCGGAATATCTAACCGTGAATACACCATGTAGATTTATGTAAATAATATAGGGTTAAAATCACATAGTACCGTAACCGCACGGTACTCATCCCCTAGATTATTTCCTCAAATATTCTAACTTGTACACTATTACCTCAAGTTTGACTCGAATTTCAATTTGAATTCTCAAAGCTCGATTCGAGCTTGAGTCAGAACATTAGCACGAGCCTTATGGTTGTGAGTAGAGGTGTAAACGAACAGAATTCAACCCCGAGTTCATGTTGCTCAAGCTTTTAACTTAACGAGCTTATAATCAAGCTTGAATCTCAACTCGATTTTCAATATATGAGTTGAAATCGACCTTTGCCGAGTCGAATTATAAAAAAACTACATAACAAACATCTTTTCGAGTCAAACTCGTCTCGTTAACCAAACGAGCTTTAAATGAGCTCGAACTTGGTTTGTTGCTAAAACATCTATTATTAAGAGCCTTGTAATCCTCGACTCACAGGTGAAGTTTTATATCATCACTTAAAATAAAATTCACGCGGAATTTCGGATTCACTCATTTGAAATTGGAGTTAGTCGATTGCTAAGTGGGAACTCCATCATCGTTCCGGCTGGAGATGGACTGTGGACTGAACTCCAGAGACTAGTCTATTCGTTGGGTTTTCAAGCCTTTTGGCCCGCTAACTTATTTAGGGTCTAAAGCTCCTATATACTTGGGCCTTTAAAATGTATATATTGATTTTTTGGGCCTTTCGATCTTCACATACAATCAAATATATTGTCTATTTGACAACATGGCTACACGAGAACAACTGTGCGCAGTTTTGTGAAAAGTTGTATCGAACCACAAAAAATCGAAAACCGAACTTTAATAAAAAAAAGTAACCACACCGCAATTTAGAAAACCGAACCGAAACCGAATCAAATTTTTTATATACTAAAATAACCAAACCGAACTGCACGGAAATGTACGGTTCGGTTCGGTTTTCGGTTTTATCTCAATTTTTATGTACATTTTATGTAATTTGGTGCGGTTCGGGCAAACTGCACCAAACCGAACAAAACCAAAAACCGAACTTAAGAATAAACTATAACTGCACTGCAATGTAGTAAAAAAATCGAACCGAGCCGAACCGATTTTTTTTTTTTTACATTAAAAGAACCGAATGAACCGCACCGAATTGCACGGTTCAACTTGTTTTTTCAATTTCGGCTCGGTTTTAAGGTTTCGACTCAGTTTTGCTCACCCCTACGAGCAACTAATTGGCCAAAAATGTAGTGTCAATGCACTAACATATTGGTACCGATTAAGAGTGATGTAGAGCGTAGTACAATTGGGAATAATATGAGATACTCTCTCAAGAACGAACAATCAGAAAACTTTATTCTTCAATAATCTACTGTGTTTTTCGTTCCATACAGCTTAAATACCAATAGGAAATAAAATAAGAATTCTAATCTTACCAAAACACTGCAAGACCTTTATTTGCCTACCATAATTAATAAAGCTAGCAAAAGGAAATAAAATAAAAGAGTACTAATAATAATTCTAAAATAAATAAACTAAACCCGGAGTAGGTCGTGTTTATTTATATACGCTAACGCGGTCTCGTCTTCATCCAAGAGACTGTTAAATATCGCAAATCATGAATGTAATAGTGGAAATTTTTACAAAACTGAATTTTGTCTGGGCTTTATATTTTGCATAGATGATAACGAGGAAAAGCTTTGAATCATTTATACTCATACGTATCTCTACAATTTTCTTTATAGATAAAGGAGAATCCTCCAATCTTGAGATTTTGATCCATATAAAATATAATATACCCTATTTATTGGAATAAGAGAATCTATGGCCTAAGATAGCATGTCATGTTAAAAAAACACACACAAGATTTAATTTCTAACAAAATTAGCAGTATTTCATTTTAACATATCATCAACCTAATTTAACCACCAGGGCTATACATTGCTTGCATCACTCATCATCTCAAAACCCTAACCATATTAACAATCAAGAAAATCAATAAAAAAAGAAAAATTAAAAAATCACCTAGAAACAATGAATACAAAAATCCAGCGCACCCTTCAAACCCTGCTCATCAAGAAACCTTAACCAATGCGAAACACAAGTTCGATTCCCTCCGAAAAGCCCACAGCCGGACGATGTTCTCGGCCGTCAACTCGTCCCGACTGCAAACCGCATTCCACCCGCTGTTGATCACGTACGTCGAAAACCATATCTTGAATATCATCTTACGTTCCTCGAGGCACGGCTGCACGAGGTCCACGTCGATCCCCTCACCCGAACTTAACTTGTCCGCCTCAGCAGCCGTCAGGAACCCGTTTCTGACCTGGCAGTAGGGCACCGACAGCCTGGCGTGGCTCGGGCTTGCATCTGTGTTCGAAATCTCCTTCTCGATCACAAACACCAGGCTGTCGAGACGGCCCCCGGTTTGCGAGATGTAGTTCATGAAGGGCTCGGGTAGGGTCGGGTCTTCGTGTAGGTTCGGGAGATTACTAGTGGCCAGGTGTCGGTAGAGTCGGGCCTTCGAGATTTTCCCCTTCGTGTTGGGGCTTTCGGAGCACTTTTCCCCTTTGCTCTCAGGAAGCTCGACGGCGGCCGGAAGATTCTTGAACTTAATCTTGATACGGGTCGGGTTGTGGGCGGGCTCTTCGTCGGGATCCGAACGGGGCCGGATTCTCCTGATTCGTGGAGACCGCTTGGACTTCGTCGAGAAACCATCGAAGAGTGGGGTGTTAGGGTTTCGATTGCTTTCGATTTCGGAGACCAAATCTTCCAATTTGACTTTGCCGTCGGTCAGAAGAGCCGTCACTTGGTTCAGGCATATCCACCGCCTGGTGTTGGCCGAGAGGCCGTCGCCGTCGATTTCCGGCATTGCTGTCAATGAATTTTCGCCGTTGATATCCGACATTGCCGTGAACGAATTTCGCCGGAATTTTTGGGGAACAAAAAATTTCAAGAAAACTTGTTGAGAGAGAAAAGAGAGGAGAGAGAATTTTGGTTTTTAGTGACGGCGATCAAGGAAAGGTTTAAATGAGATCTTTTTACTTGGCAGCGAGATTATCTCTACAACTTGTATTAGTTCGCGTGGGAGAGAGTTACTACTGTACAGTTGCTTCATGGACTTTTTAAGGCTTTGGCCCATGGGCTTTATGTACATTTATGGGCTTCCTAAAATAAAAGAATTGTTTTGTAAAATGGCCCAGTCTACTAATGTTGCCGAAAACTACACATTGGCAAGAGTAAATAAAAAAATATATTGAAAAGAAAACTTCCAAAATGGAAGTAGGACCAACATGAATTTGGTGGTTTGAGCTTTACGGCCGCACACATGTGTTGTAAGTAGGAGTATAAACGAGTCGAGTATGATTGATTTTTTTTTTTTTTTTTGAGTTGCTCGACTCGAGCTCGACTCGATAAAAATAAAAAGCAATAGTTCAAGCTCGACTCGAATTTAAAATGCTCGAGCTCAACTCGAGTTTGCTTCGAAAATTTTCAAGCGACTTTGTAAATTACCATAAGTACATATACAATATAATGATACATATACATACAAGAGGTACTTTAGTAATTAACCATATATCTCGAGTCCTCGACAATCTAAAATATGGACTCGAGCGCTCATGAGCGGCTCAACTCGTATACACCCTTGTTTTAAGCTATATGCACCGGTTTTCATATAGTCTACCTTTTCTAGGCGCTCGAAAGTCGCGTAAACGTTAGACTTCAGTCCGCCACCTAGCATATAACGCTTTGAGAAATTTAGTTGCACGGAAAATATTAATGAATTATGTTGCTGATTATAACTGTTCATGAAGTTTTGCAAATTATATTTTACCAATAAAATAATTTATATATATATAGAGTAATGCTCCTCTACCCACGGTGTGCACATGTTAATATGTTCACCGTTTATGTGGCATGCACACATTGATGATGTTAATATATTAAAAAAAATAAATCACCAATGTGTGCATGTCATATAAGCGGTGGGCATATTAACATGTGTCTACCGTGGTAGGGGACATTTCTCTCTGTATATATATATATTGCAAAGTCTCAATATACATACAAAACAAGTTGAAAAAAAACCAGAAAATGTATAGTATCCCAAGTACACGATATTTTCCATCATCACTAATAAAACATTATATGCTGTGTATATATCCTCATCAATTCCTCTGTTTTATCTATTTTTCAACTTGGCCTGCAGCCAACTTTTGGTGCTTTAATGGTGATGACTTTTGAATTACAAATTGTGTTACATTAAAATCGCATTGCAGTAACTAACTCACTACTCAGAGCCTTAATTATCCATTCCATTTCTCCTCCACCATACATAAAAGAAACAAACACACACATATGAACTTGCACAAAAACTACAGCAATTTAAGATATTGAAAGCAAACTGCACGTGATATCTTCAAGTCACAACGTGATATAACCTACATTGTGGCAAAAGTTGGTTATGGAAACCACATAAATATCCAGAGTCCCTCTTATTTCTTCTTCAAATTCCAACAATCACATATATATTTCCTTGCAAAAATAAAAATATGGCAAAAGTTGAAGTAGTGTCATCAAGCCTTGTTCCGATGGCTTCCGTCGACACAATCCCCATGTCGCGTCTCGATCTTACTCCGTGGGACTTGCAAATGCTCCTATTCGAACCCATCCAACAAGGTGTTCTGTTTCACAAGCCCACATTCGCTATCGATTTCATTATCGACTACGTCAAAGCCTCGCTCTCCCGCGTGCTCGACTACTTCCCCCCACTCGCCGGCCGCCTTGCCACCGAAAACAACAACAACGACACCAAAACGGCCGTTTATTTTGTCGACTGCAACAACAAAGGCGCCGGCATCATCCATGCGGCCGCCCCCAACGTGTCCGTCTCCCAGATCTCGGATGCCAAGTACACGCCGGAGTTCGTCTACTCATTCTTCCCTCTCAACGGGACCCGCAACTTCCACGGGACTTTCGAGCCACTGTTTGCCGTCCAGGTCACCGAGCTCGAGGACGGCCTATTCTTCGGGTGCGCGGCCAATCACGCGGTTATGGACGGCTCGTCCATGTGGCACGTTCTCCAATCCCTGTCCGAGATTGTCCGTGGCCACAAAAAAATATCGAAAATGCCCTCCTTCGCGCGCGATTTCCCCGGCTGGCAAAACCGCCCCATCCATGTCCCCATGCCGGACGACGGCACGACGAAGACCGCCACCCGGCCAATGCTGCTCGATAGAGTTTTCCACGTCAGCAAGGAGAGCGTGGCCGAGATCAAGGCCCGGGCAGGGCCCGATGTCGGGATGATCACGTCGTTCCAGGCGATCGTGGCGCACGTGTGGCGGTGCGTGGCGCGGTGCCGCCGCCAGCTTGGCGTCGGCGGGGGTGAAGAGACGATGGTGACGGGGGTTGGAGCGAGAGGGAGGGTGGATTTGCCGGAAGGGTATTTTGGGAATGCGATCTCGGGGTCCACGCTGTGCATGGGAGAGGAGGAGCTGTTGGGAGGTGGGCTGGGTCGGGCTGTGCTTGGGCTCAAGGCGTTTGTGGACCGGGAAGGGACGGCGGAGGCTGTGCTGGGGTTCGTGAGAGATTGGGCGAAAAATCCGAGGGTTCACGTGCCGGGGAGTTGCACGCTGCTGGTGTCGAGCTTGCCGAATTTCGATGCGTACAGAGGCATAGGGGATGTCGGGCTAGGGAGGGCGGTGGCGGTGAGGACGGGAAGGGCGCAGAAGTGGAATGGGAGAGTCGCGATTTTTAATGCGGCTGAAGGGGATGGGGTTGATGTCGAGGTCTGCCTGGCGCCGGAGGTTATGGCGGCACTGGAGGAAGACACTGAGTTCATGGACAGCACTCTGTTGCAGAATATAAAGTAAAGTTTAATGTTCGTTTTGGAATTGGTCGTATTTGTTTTGTTTTGTTTGTTTGTTTGTTTGTATTGTGTGAGATTTGTGTGATTTTATTCTTGTGAAATGAAGCAAGTGTTGATTGATTTTGATTTTACTATGATTAGCACATTGTACTTGATCTTTATTTCCTTTGGTACAAATATTCCTTATAGCTATTAGCTACTAATGAAGTCGATACATTCACACTAGTTAGGGTCATTTCTCTTGTTGATGTTCAATTGACGATTTCGACCCCGAGCAAGGCTGTCACAGGCTTCCCTGCATGGAGCTGAAGGGCAACATCAGCAACAACCTGCACGCCCACACTCGACGCTGATTCGTAAATGAACATCTGGAAAAATAAATATAAACATGGTAGAGCACTATTGAGACATTCACCTTGGCCCTCGATGCATGTAGCTGCTTGTTTTTCAATTTACCTGCCAACTTTTGGTGCTTTAATGGTGATGAGCAGGGCTGCAAATAAGTCGGGCCGAGTTGAGCATTGGTCTTATCGAGCAGGATTGAGTTTTTTTTAGCTGCTCGAGCTTGAGTTCTCGAGCTCAATTTTGTAGGCTCGTGCTCGACTCGATATAAAATTGCAATAGCTCTAGCACGGCTCGAGCTCAACTTGAAATTAAAATGCTCGAGCTCGGCTTGACTTCAGCTCGAAAATTAAGTAAAACTAATATTAAGCACCTATACTAATATATATAATAAGGGGCATTTTAGTAATTAATGTATAACACGTGCTGCTCGATGAGCCGCTCGACAAGGCAAAATATGGGCTCGAGCTCGACTCGAGTTCGTGCTCGAGCCGCTCGAACTCGACTTGAGTTCGGTCAAACTCGATCATGTAGAGAAGCGTACAAGTGGGAAGGATAAACGAGTAAACGAGATACTCTCTCGTAAAACACGCAAACTCACAATATCTAATTTTATTTCAACAATCAACTAAATAGA